TTAGGAGCGCTTTCTGGGTGTGAAATGAATAGGGCAAGAGTATAAATGTGCAGGGCTCTTGATAAATTCTGCTGAATTATTTTCCAAAAGCACATTTTATACCCCCATCAGTACTCTGTGTGGCTCTCCAAAATAACACACTAACTGTTAAATAATACCTTGAGGCTTGTTTGCTAACATGACTGCAGAAAATGGCATATTTCACTATCTTTTTTGTATTACTGAGGATGAACTTTTTTTTTTGGCTGCCACACAAAATTAATTTAAACTCACTTAAAAAAAGGTCACTGATTTTAAATTCCACTCACCTTTTGATAGGGGAAGGCAGAGATATAATCGGAAAATGAAAACAAGTGTCAGAAGTCCTGACGACTGGAAGCACTGCTGTGGGTTCAGCGTTTGCTGCCCAGTGATTCCTGTTCTGAAATACTCGGGACCTGTATTTGCGGTGGGTATTGTTGTCAGCCAATTCTAATCCTGCCCTACATTTTTCTAATCCAATACCGAAAAGGAAACAAGGATTAGAGCCCACTTGAGCATTAAGAATCAAGTCGGTTGGGCTACTTCCTCACAAATAATCCCTGGCAATCACATTTCATCTCCCTTGTAAGTCCTCTTTGTTGGAGAGAAACAATAAAGCCTTCACAGCTGGTCCAGCTAGCTGGTCTTACTTCTACATACCAAACCCCGCGTCTCTATGGCCAACTGTCCACGCCACCGCCACCTAGTCTGTGTATATGGGACAGGAGACACCAGGGCAGCTTCGACTTCTCCATATTTATAAGGACCGTGGCTCTGATGGACTCTGCTTCCCTCATGGCCGAAGGGCTAAGAAAGTAGATTCCTTCTCAACCACATCCTCTAGCTCCTGGGTGACTCCCAGACGTAGCCAGTCCCTCCCAAGTCCTGAGAAAAACAGCAGGTGGTCTAGATTACCGGGGACACCTTCAGATGCACCCAGTATATCCTCTGGAGCCCCTTAGCGCAGGCTCTAGGACAGCTGCAAACTCCTCCCCTGGGGAATCCCTGCCCTTACAGCCCTGGCACCCATGTTTGCCCTCGGCAGTGACATGTGTCAGGGCACCTAAGCCCACGGCCCACCAAACCATCTCAAATAGCACGACTAATACGACATGGGCTGGAAGCTTGGGAGAAGTGGGAGCATCACCAAAGGCCTCTGAACCATGGGGGCTTCAAGCAGTCTACGCTCTGCAGCCCCAGAGCTCCATGCTGCCCCGACACATGCACCTGGAGAAGCACCTCCACCCTGCTGAGGCACTTAATGGAGTGAAAACTCCAGCCACAACTGCCCTCCTC